GTAAGAATTGCACTAGAGTGCAGTTTGAAGCTCTGGAGTTCAAGTCCTAAAGTTCCTGGAGAGTGAGAACACACAAGCTTCCTGTCATTGCTGGTAAATACTTAAATCCTATTATATTAATTATTTTATTTACGTAATTATTTTTCTTCGTTGTAAAGGAGCGTAATTCTGTGTGATTAGAAGCAAATTCCTTCAAGTGCCCATAATGTAAAAGAGCTCACATGAAAAATGACTTTAACTGGTGTGTGTTGACCAGCCTTATGGCACCTGAGCACAGCATGAACCTTTGGTGTCTTTCTAGGCTCCTCACTCAGTAGCCCTAGAGTATTGTCATTTGGTGGGAGAATAGATTCTGGAGTGTCCAGAGAAGTGCTGCAGAACAACAACTCCAGAATTACCTAACACCTGAGAAGGTCTCGAACATGAGTTTCAAAGCATTTGAGAGTCCAAATAATCCTTATGGCATTTCAATATTTTCCAAAGGTCTTTGAATGTAACCCTGCAGACTGGTCTGCCTGCTGGCACTTACTGCGATGTCATTTCTGGGCAAAAGAAAGGTGACTCCTGTACCGCAGTTGAAGTTCACGTTGCTGCTGATGGCGTGGCTAATTTCCTGATTAGTAACGAGGATGAAGACCCATTCATTGCAATTCACGTTGACGCCAAATTGTAACCAGATCTGTGGTGCACGTGTTGTTTCTTCTCTTCTGTATTTTTGCTGACAGCGTACAAGGTGGTCTGATTCTCTTGGCTCTCCAGCACCGAATGAACCCTGACAGAGCGAAGTGCATGAGCTTGTATTAGTGAAATAGCGAGTAGCTGCTGTACAGAGACAGGAGCTAGTGGTGCTAGCGCAGATCTGGAAGAGGCGGTATACGCCCGCTTGCCTTTGTAATTGCGCTTTATTCAGTTAAAGTACTAATAAAAAATGAAAGGAGACAATTGAAATGACTTAATTTTAAATTGTGCTGCTCTGTGCATAAGTGGAAATGTAGTTCTCTTTATGGGGAAGCTGGACTAGGAATTAACAGCACATCTGAAAATCAAGAGAAGACACCTTTGGGCTGAAACATGGCGCAGTTCAAGTTGATGCCACGTTATAACTCAGTTGAAAATGCGTTTCTTCCATTGGTCTGTGCATTATTGTTTCCCCCATATGCGATTCCCTGGTATTCGAGCGTGAGTGATTCTCTGTATCTAGTGAATAATAAATGGCAATCAAATGGAAGGGTAATGCTTTTTTCCCTTAACGCATTGGGTTGTAACTTTATCACGTCATCACTAGTGGCGATGGAGTGGTGGGTTTTAAGGCAATGCAGCACTCCATTTCCCGCACCACAGAAACACGGGGAGAAAATGGAATAAACAAAAAACCCAAACCAACCCCTGGGTCAGTTAAAAGGCAGCATTCCCAAGGCCGATCCGTACACGCACGTCTGTATCCCAGAGCAGCCACGTTGCGGGCAGTCGGCGATGAGCGGTGCCTACACGCAGAGAGAGTTTATCCGTTTCTGGCGACAAACCAAAGCCGGGGTCTGGGTTGTCGGAGGACGTTGGGCCGCGCCAATCAATTATTCCAGCCTGTGACATCAGTCAAGCCAGCGGGTTGCCTGGTTCACCGTCAGCTTGTGCCCGTGCCAGTCAAAACCGCCCATCTTCCATCGTTAGCCCCAGTGGCTTGCTGCAACCTAGCGTTCGCTGTGGCTGTTCCAAAGGCGTCTGAGAAGCGAGCTGTATATCCAAGCATCGCTCAGACCTCGTGCCAGTGGCTGAAGCGCAGCATGTTCTTGTCTCTGTGGTGCGTTAGGCTGGCTTATTCTGTCATATCTCGGAGAATTAGGCAGAGGGAGCGGAGATTTGGCGGCTCTCCCAATGTCACTGCGAGTCGTGAGAAAATGCCGCGGTAGATGTGAGAGTGCAGCCCTTGCGTTAAATCGGAACGTCTGCTTGGCCAAACGTAGTCGTTGCGACCCAGTCTGGAGGGGCAAATGGAAGAGGAGCGCCGGGATTTATTCTTGTTGAGGTCAAGGTGTGCTTTGACGGGCTGTTTCCCTGCTGTGGCGGGAGAGAGAGCGCGCGGGTGTTGGGGACGGGTATCGGCTCTCGGTGTGCCCACGGGCTCGGCGTGCCTGGCAGGGCAGTCACGGCGCGGGAGGAAGGGCCCAGGTAGTGTCCCTGGCCCAGCGGCTGGGCCCACGCTCTGTCTCCCTTGCTCGCTGTGGCCAGCAGCGCCTTGCTGAGGGCAGGGCTGGCAAAACGCAGCCCCTGGATCTGCTCACTGGAGCGGCGTCAAAGGTTGGGAGGCCCGTGTGGCAGGGGATGTTAACAGCCATTGCAAACCTGTCGCTTGCCCCCGGGGGTCGGGTCAGGGAGCCCTCCTGCCCCTTTGAAACAGACTGGCTTCACTTGTTTGTGCAGACTGGAGTGGCAAAGGGATGTGTTTCACATCCATGTTGTGCTAGAACATCCCTGAAGTTAATTTTCAGGAAAGCTGGTTTAAAAGCGTGACATCTTGTGTAGTGCGTGATAGTGGCAGTATCCTGGCAGCTGAAAATTTACAATCAAGATGATGAATGCTTCTCTGCTGTGGAAACTGGCATGATTTTTTAGGTCCTACAGCTATGACAGCGTAATCTTTTCTTTTACTGGCTCTTTCTCCGCTTCTCTGAAACCACTGTTTGCCACCTTTCCCGGGATTTGCGGTGGACTTGCTATGGCAGATACCACTGAAGTTTGAGAACCGTTTCTTTCCTGAGAGGAGGACAATCTCAACTTTGTAGCACGTTGTGATACTCACCTGTCTGGTGAGTAGCAATAAATGTGGACATGTTCTTTTTTTTTTAAAAGATGATAATTCAAGTCTGATATCTCTAACTGAGCATCTTTAAGACTGTCATCTCCCTTTGTCTTTTACGTTGGTTTTAATAACCTGTCTGGGAATGGTTGAATGCTGCATTTAATATACAAGCACACTTAACCGCCTTTTCATACCCTTCAAGCCATTGTTATGACAGAGCACAATACCGATTATTCATTTGGTCAAGCTAAATAGCAGCGAGGCGGACGATTGCATGGCGATTGCTCTGATTTAATAACCTGTCTGGGAATGGTTGAATGCTGCATTTAATATACAAGCACACTTAACCGCCTTTTCATACCCTTCAAGCCATTGTTATGACAGAGCACAATACCGATTATTCATTTGGTCAAGCTAAATAGCAGCGAGGCGGACGATTGCATGGCGATTGCTCTGACTGTGTCAGAGTCCAATGCTCTCTGACCAGCTCCTTTTAGATATTCCATGTGTGGAGGGTGTAATGTTTAATATAAAATCTACTGATTTGAAGATAATTGATGCTAGATACTTCTTCTGACTTAGCAGAGCAATACAAAATATACTGAAATCACAATACAAATGTAAGTTACGCTCAGCAAAATACAACAATTGCAATATACAGTTCTATCACAATATCGACGTGATCTCCATTACTGGTCTCTACAACACACCCACCATCAGGATGCTGGGCGTCCCCAGTCACTGGGGGAAAGGAATATGTGGGTTGAAGCCAGCTGAAGCCCATTGCTGTCTTTGAAAACCTTTTGTTAGTTGTTTAGTTTTTATAATCTCTGTTGTGCTGAGCCACGTGTACGCTCCTCCCCGTGCTGGTCTGGCTAAACCAGGGAGACAGTCACGCTCTTTTATTTAGCTCGGGGATAAACAGTTACGCTACCAGCTGATGCAGTCAACTGACAGAGCTGTTTATCTAAAATAAAGGCCACCCTCCAGCCCTCCTTGTGTTGAGATAACGTCAGCATTCTTTGCAACACCTGCCTAGGACAGTTGCAGCCTGCGTTATTCCCTGAGCGTCCGGGGCAAGTCACTCTTGCCTGCCTCCTCTGAGCCTTCTTCCTTCGGCGGGGTTTGTTGGTCAGTCACGTGCTGGTAGGTCTTGTGTAGGCATTGCCACTGCAGCGGTGCATTGGGAGAACGCTGCCGCTGCAGCACGGGAT